AATTTTCAAATCCTACGAGGGGTCTATATTTATTAAAATTCTTCTTTCCTAGGGACTCGATTCTGTTCAAATTATTAATAAGAAAGAAACAGATTCATATATACACATTTATAATTTTATAAGGTCAGTCAGATAAACAAAGGCAATAATGACGGATATTATAACTTTGCTAATGGTAGTTCTTTTTACGAACTTTTGTGCTATTTGTTTAGTGCATTATTTTTATGCTGAATTACAAAATTTCGTCACAAAACATGTTCCTGATAATATACGCGAAATTCTTGCCATTTAATCCTGTCGGAGTACAACAAAAACGTTCGAAATGGAAAGAATCGTTTTAAATTATAAAATTTAAAGTCTTAAAAAATAAATTTTTTTTCCTTCAATTAGAAAGATCTTTCAGCTTACTTTTTTGTCTGGAAAAGACTGTTAAAATGAGACTGAAAATCTGTTAAGATGTGAGAACATGCAAAGAAACCGAAATAGTCCAGTTGAAAAATTGTGTCAACTTTAATCTATGGAGTTAGAGACATTAGTTAAAAGCTTTTCAGGTGTATTTCTGAGCTATTAATTAATATTAACGAAAACAATTTCGAACGTTTTTCAGTCAATACATTTTGAAACGTTAAATAAAACCATTTTAATAATTTTCTTGTGATCAAAAAAAATTTTATTTTTTAAAATGTTTTCTTATTTTAATGTTATTTTTTTTTACTCTGTAAGTTTAAGTGTTTCGTACCATTGCTCTGGTAGGACTTCTTTTGCGACTTCGACTACTTTTTCATGATATTTATATGATAAATAAATTGCCACTACATTCGCAATTAATAAGAATAATATATCTTCGATAGATTCAAACATTGTTTATTTTTATTGTACGACTGATTTAATGTTATGTTAACTCTTATTAATAGACTAAGGAATAGCATTAACAGATATTTGTGACTAGATTTAGTAAGTAAATAAAAAATTAGAAAATTCAATCTGCAGACACAATTAAAAAAATTTCAATTACATTAGAAGTATTATATCGTCATAAAAAAATAGATAAGTTTTAGAATGATCCAGTTAACAGATCCTAAATATCTACCCAACAAACCGCATTAACAGATAAAAATCTAAATAGAGTTTAGTATATATATAACCAAATTAAACTATTTCTCTTCGTGTTGTAATAAACTCGACATAACAAGAATTTTTAAATGTGTTACTGCCTGAGGAATATCGGTCTCCTTTTATGTCGCAATAAATGTAAATCAGCGTGAAATATCACTTCATATAGAAACAACAGTCAGCCTCGGGGTGATATTCTTCTTAAATTCTACTCCAGCGGTAACGCGATTTGATCGACAATAATTTCGCTCATTACTCAATACTTTCATTTGCAACTTGAATGCAACTTTTTTTCTCTCTTAACTCTATATTTGTTAAACTTTATAATAATACTAAATTTATATAAAATAGCATGTGATTTTATATAAAATAAAAAATTTAAAAAAATTAAAAGTATAAAAAAATAGTTAAAAATAACATTCACTTTATAAACTCTCTTTTTCACTGGTTTCGAAATGTGAAACTTTTTATTATATCTGACGATGACAGAATGACAGTTAATCGCTCTCCAAAAAATAAAATCCTGACGCATGTCCTCTATACTAGTTTCGGACCTCGTTTCGAACCTGAACTATTTTTTTTTACTTATTCGAAGACCTGGTAATATTTTTTATTGTCAGGATCTAAATTATATCCGATTTTTATCTCTTAGAATATTTAATTGAAAGCTCTAAGAAAATTAAGGGACCAGAGTCAATAAAAAATAAAATTTCATCCAATAAATCTCATACCAGACGTTAATTAAAATAGTGAAGGAGCTTCACGTTTCTTTCAAGCTTAAATCTAATGAGCGAAAATTATTCATCTTTCAAGATTGACTGCAAACTTTCCAGTACCCTGCAGATTAATAAATATGGATACAATTTTTTTTTCGATTTCTGTATTATTTTAAAATGAAAAATTAATTTTTTTTAAGAAAACAATTCAATAAGACTTTATTTATCTTAAATAAGGTATTACGTGTGTTTCTATAAGTTGTGGATTTTTGCCGCTTTTCCTTGACCGGTCTTTCATTCTTTAAAAGACATTCAAGATTTATCGAGGCCTACTTGAAAATTTATTGATGCTGTACACGAACTTCAAAGATTCTCACGTTCATCGTTATTCTCCAGTGCAAAAAGCCCTTCATTACGCGGTGTGTCTCACGTGAGAAAGAAGAGAAAGGTGACGAACTTGCGTGGCCGTCTATAATTGGACAAAGTTTTATTAAAATCATTAAAATTTGCCTATCAATTGGTTTGTATAAATGTGAATATAAATTGTAATTATATTCTATTTTTTGTTTCCAAATAATTCTCAAGAAAAGACACGGTCAGCAAACAAAAATTTGTCTACTACTACTACTTAAAGTAAAACAAGTGAGAGTGGATTGAACGAAAAGTGTATCACAAGCCACTCCATAGGAGATCGATTATTGTTAATGATGTCCCGTGGTTTTTACCGGTTTTCTTCATTACACTTAAGTTCCTTATAGAAAATTTTGACTTTCCGGTAAAATCCACTTATAAAAATCAGATTCCCCTTTTATAGATTGACAATAATTGCTTACTCTGAATGATATAATGAAACACTCTAAAAGGCAACGATCTAATTCCACTTTTTCCTAATGTCTTTGGAGTTTATTCTCATTTCATTAGTTTAAATAAAAATCACACCACAATTCTCCAATTTTTTCTACTCTTGTCAATGAATTAAAAAATTTATTTTCTACAAACAAAAATATTGTAATAAAAAGTTAGACTTGAAAATAAATGTAACTTTTTTTCTCTCAATTGGAACATTGTTTGAATTTGAAATCTATTGTCACGTGAGTGAACAACACCAAAAGCCATTAACTATTGCTTTGAAAATGGATATTACGTCAAAGCTAGCTACACTTAAACATTATCGATGTAACAGGCTCAAATATACCAAACACCCATATATGAATTTTTAAAAAATTATTTTACAAATTTAGAACAACCATTTTTCTGCAAAAACTGATTAAAGAATTGTTATTGTATACTAATTTTTTGCCCATTAGAAAAGAATTAATTTTTCAACTACCAAGACATCTGTCTTGAATAAAATAAAATCCCTCAAATCAAAGAAAAGAATCTCTTCAGAATTGAAAGATTATTTATGTAGAATTATTTTGAGGGGAAAAATCTTATATGAAGTGCGTGACATGTACGACAAAAAAGCTTTTGCGAGTGATTTGGTGGACAACATGCTGTCATGGGACAACAATTCTGAATGTATTTGAGATGAAGCTAAAGCCTTGGGATGTTAAGCGACCCTATGCGTATATTTGATGGATGAAACCACGTTTTGCCACCGACGCATTTTGACACACCGTCAACGCATCAAACTGTACACATCGAAAACCCTTCTCGATTCTATGATTTATAGAGTGTACATAATTTCTCGATAGGCAGGCGCTTTCACGTGTTTTATCTTGTTAGTTCGTTCAACTGAAAATGATCGACAACCTCGAAACTGAGTTTCAAAGAGTAAATATCACTCTCAATTAATTATTGTAGAAGTTTATTTTAATAATATACTGTGAACGAGAGAGGGTGAGAATTTTTTTAATATTTCAAAAACAATAAATGCACAATTTAAAAATTTTAGAACATTTACAAATTTGAAACCATATGTTACAACAATTGCTGGCAAAGTAAATGTTTAAGAATTTTAATTTTTGAGTAATGTACGCATTTTCGAAAGTATCGAAATTTGTTTTGAAGTGACGACAATCAGAGTGACACGGGAGACCCCAAGGAGACAATACAGCATATATCTCAGTAGTACAAACAACCAGTCTAACAATAAACCATTGAGAAGACATGGGGTACCTTCTCTAAATGTTTATAATCTTTTATTTCTTGCTGTTCAAATTTTCTTTAGTGAAAAGCTCCACCACCACGATATACATTCCTTAAAATTTCATAAGAATCAAAATTATTTACTAAACTGAACTATAAACTCTAAATGTTTATAATCTTTTATTTTTTGCTGTTCAAATTTACTTTACTGAAAAGCCCCACCACCACGATATACATTCCTTACAATTTCATCAGAACCTTGCTGATATTACATTCACACGAAATTTTACCAGAACTAAAATTATTATTAAACTGAACTGTAAACTCTAAATATTTATAATCTTTTACTTCTTGCTGTTCAAACTTTATTTAGTGAAAAGCCCCACCACCACAATATAACGTTTCCGTTAATTTTACCAGAACTTTAATTATTATTAAACTGAACTGTAAACTCTAAATGTTTATAATCTTTTATTTCTTGCTGTTCAAATTTTCTTTGGTAAAAAGTCCCTCCACCACGATATGCATTCTCATCGTTCTTCATCAGAACCACAATTATTGCTAAACAGAACTGTAAACCCTAAATGTTTATAATCTTTTATTTCTTGCTGTTCAAATTTTCCTTGGCGAAAAACTCCACTACCACGATATACATTCCTTAAAATTTCATCAGAACCAAAATTATTATTAAACTGAACTGTAAACTCTAAATGTTTATAATCTTTTATTTTTTGTTGTTCAAATTTTCTTTAGTGAAAAGCCCCACCACCACAAGAATTTTTATCAGAACCAAATTTATTACCTTTTTTCTTGTTGTCGATAAAGTAGCAAATTGACTTATCATTCGACGTGACATTCCCAAAGGTAGTAACGTTTGTTCTAACTACAGTATCTTAATTAATAGATGCCAGGTTCTAATAGTTAATTGAAATAATAATAGTTAAATGAAGCATGTAATCAAATATAATTATTAAATAAAGTGAATGCAGAAAGTAAAACAAAGCGATGGGTAAATTTCTCAGAAACATAAGCCCACCAGTTTAAATAGAGCTTAATATTATTATCTAGTTAATTGAAACTATGTTACCATCACAATTTTCTTAAGCTGCTTACTATGGAAACCTATACTTGTATGCATAATACATTCACTTAGTCCATACACCCCACAAATGGAGTTTAGATTGCATACTTAATGACATGTTAGTTTACCTATCTAAAACTTATTCATTACGCGCATTGCATTTAAAAACAATGAGGATACAGATTTTTGTTTTGTTTAAATACAAAATCAGAAAATAATTTCAATCATAATGGACGACATGAAGGAATAATATTATTATTAGGAATAACATTGTAAGGAAGAAATGAAAATAAATTTTGTAAAATAGACAAAATATGATAATTGTATATCAGAGGTAACTAGATTTAAGATTATAACTAAGAGCGTGGAAATGTAGACAGCTGTGAAAGGGAATTTACGATTATGTTCTTGCAGGGTTTGCAGTTGGGCATGCCACTGGTACACTTGAAATGGTCTAGTCTCTTCGTGACGACGTTGTTAACTCTTACATTACTACAGGTGGGTGTAAAGGGTAAAACTTTCACCTTGGGATACATTACAGGCTCAAAGAGACGGCCAAACGACTTTGAGTATCAACGTCCTGGCTTTCGGATTTCCGGCGCCATCACCTTGGCTGTAGAGGAGGTATATACGTATACACGATTAGTATTATACTCATGCACCCACATTACTGTTTACCTGCTCCTAAACCACATAATCTTCACTATGTTCCTCGCAAATCTCCCCAAGCTTTAGCTCTAAACCAAATTGATCTAATCTCACGTGAATAATACACATACGTTATATATGCATTTATTATTTTCAATTTCATACTTAAATAAAGTTATCAAAAACTGTGCTAGTTGTATTTTTATTTTACTTTCTTATTTCGATATCAACGCCATATAATGTTAAGAGTGCGGAATCCAAGGCATCTGTAAACAGATTTTTCCAAAAATTCCTCAGGTAAATGCTGGTGAGTTAGGTAGACGTGGTCACAAACTGGAATTTCTGATTGCCGAGACCTACGGCGAAGAAGAGACAAGCATTTTGATGACAGCAGATCTTTGGACGAAGAACGTCAGTGCTTATATTGGGCCACAAGAAACTTGTGTTCACGAGGGACGAATGGCCTCTGCCTTTAATATACCAATGATATCTTATGTAAGAAAATGCCTTTCAACAAATTCTTATATTTAAGGGTCATTCTCTTAAAAAGACCGAATTTAATAGTAAAAATAAAAAAGATCATAGTTCCCTATGATGTTTTTCTTAAAATTTTAAATCATAACTTAAAAAATGTTTGATCAATACAAACTGCAAGCATTCCTAATTTTAATTTTGTTCTATTCCTAATAATGACCTTTCACTTATTTTCATGTGACATAAATTTACTAATGTTTACAGTTTTGTACACATCATGAAACATCAGACAAACTAGAATTTCCAACATTTGCCAGAACGCGACCTCCTGATACACAAATATCAAAATCTATTGTTTCGGTACTTACTGCATTTAATTGGACAAAAGTATGTTCAACTAATTTTATAGAAAAGAATGATCAAAATAATTAGTAAAATTAATTAATTAATGCTAACGATATTTCAGGTATCTTTTCTATACATGAATTCAAGTTTATTTGAATTCAATAAAATGTCAACAGTGGCAAGCACAATTTTGTCATCATTTGCTGCAGCTGGTATTACAGTCAACTATTTGCAATGTTGGGAGGAACCCTATCACGTGACTCATATGAAAAATCCTTTTCACAAACTTGTCAGCGAGACGTATAGTGAAACGCGAAGTAAGTACTTGAGTACAAAGCTACTATAAACTAAAGTTTCTGTTGAACTTGCATACGCATATATATACAATACCCATAGACTATGGAGTGTTAAACATGAAGTCCAGATTGGAGGACAGAGTTTACTGTTTGGGAGTTTAGTTTACCATGCAACTACTAAATATATCTTAAATGTAATTCACGTATATTTGTATCACAATAATAGACTCAAATGTTTATAAATTAAATTATAAAATACAGAAATCAATATAATTGTTAGATGATTATGTTGTTTCTGTTTATTTATAGCAGCCCGCATTTCACTCTGCGAGACTTGAATTAACATTGATTTGTATTTTTGCATAAAAAATCACCCGCATAACTTTAAAAGTCCACATGACAGTTATCGTCTGTCGGAATATTGAAAACCTAATTAGTTTACTTAAAGCTTTTTCTCTTCTCAAAAAAATGTCAAAAATATCTGGTGTCGCGCAAATACTTTAAAATTAATTAATTTCAGTGATAAATTTGTTCAATAATATGCCACAAACAAGAAGTTCAGTAATTTTCTATTTCTTGCTGTTCAGTACCTTCTCTGAATGTTTATAATTTTCTATTTCTTGCTGTTCAGTAGATACTTTGAATGTTTATAATTTTCTATTTCTTGCTGTTCAGTACCTTCTCTGAATGTTTATAATTTTCTATTTCTTGCTGTTCAGTAGCTTCTATAAATGTTTATAATTTTTTATTTCTTGCTAAATACTTTACTGGATAAATATTTGATAAACAATATAACTACAACAATGTTTACTATTTAAATCGTTTTTGATTCCTTACAGTATATATCATACTCGGAAATTATTACGAGCACATGGGATTATTAATGGCTTTAGACGAGAGAAAACTCCTGGAAAAAGGTATAATCCGCTGTAAGACGTTCAGGTACATATTAGAACGCAACAATGCTTCTTTTTTATAACCGTTATTTTTAATTTAATACTGTTTTAATTTATTATCTACAGCAATATACAGATTATAGTAACAAACATTTGTCTCCCAAAATAAAATTGAACAAAAAATATTTCCCTGTTTAGAAAATAATAGCAAGTAATTATTATATTGATGGGGATTTTGTAAAAAAGAGTACGGGGTACAATAGCAGAATTGTAACATATTTACAGGAGGAATAATATTTGCTTTAATAATTTAACTCATTAAATTTTCGAATGTGTTTGTAATCTACAATTCATGTTAAAGGATTTATTATTTCAGGTGAATATTGGGTGGTTGGAGTGGACATTGAACAATATGACCAACACGAACCTGATAAGTATTTACGGGGTTTATGGCAGAAACAAACTGATTTGAAAATGTTAAAAGCATTTCGAAACTATTTCAGTATTGTCGCTTCACCGCCTGTTAGTTTCGATAATTTCACAACACTAATTAACGAATACAGACGAAAACCACCATTCAACTTTAGTAATCCAGTGGACAATCTTGGAGGGGTTGTTCAGGTGGCTAACAAATTTTTCTTTAAAATATAAATTGCATTTTTTATCCCATCTTTATAGAAAGTGCACTTTTAATATAAATCATTAAAATTATAGTGCAATCATTTAAATAAAATAAAAATAAAATGTTTTACTGAAGATATGAATATTGATTCTGTCACATTGTGTTACAAGGCAGATTGTACCAGAGACGGCATATTTGTATGACGCAGTTCACCTTTACGGGAAGACATTACTTCAGGCATTAGACGAAAATAGGGACCCGTTGAATGGGAGGGAAATGATATCCACATTGCATGGTGTTCACTATGAAAGTGCCATGGGGTAAGTTTTCTTTTATCTTATTCCTCTTGATCAGTGACTATGACTACTAATTTCATCCCTGACTTATTAGATCCTAGGATATTCACGTCCCCGGTTTCAAGATTTTCCGTGTTCACCTTGAACTATCCTTTATTATCGATTTGCTTCGGCTCGGATATATTCATCACCTTTTTGCTTCTGAGCTGCTCACATGGATACCTTCTCCAAATGTTTATAATTTTTTTATTTTTTGCTGTTCAAATATTCTTTAGTGAAAAGCCCCATCACCACGGTATTACATTCCCAAGAAATGTTACCTGAACTAAAATTGTTAATATACTGAACTGTAAACTCTAAATGTTTATAATCTTTTATTTCTTGCTGTTCAAATTTTCCTTGGTGAAAAGCATCGCCATCACGATATTACATTCCCAAGAAATTTAATCAAAACCAAAATTATTACTTAACTGAACTAAAAACTCTAAATGTTTATAATCTTTTATTTCTTGCTGTTCAAATTTTCTTTAGTGAAAAGCCTGCTTTTCACTTTGGTTAAACTAAAATTGTTACTAAACTGTATTAAAACCTTCAATAGAAGTAATAAATTCTTTAAAGAATACTATCAATGTAAAAGAGAACGCAGATGGAAATTATTATAATTTAATAAAGAGTAAATTTACGTGATGAAATTTTTTCAAATTTAATACATTTTTTCTTCCAAACTAACAGTTCATTAAAATGATTAATGCACATGAAACTGTTATCAGATTACATGATACTATATTTTATATTAAGTGCTGGTCATATACAGCAACAGGTAGATTGTTAAATTGTTGGCTGTGATGTCTATGTGCAGGTACATGGTGTACATGGATGAAAATGGCGACGCAGAGGGCAATTATACTCTAATCGCTTTAGATAATCGATCCCCAAAGGGACATGGACTTTACCCGATTGCACATTTTATCGGTAAAGACGAAAAGACAAATCTTCCGGTAAATTTTACGCCTTTACTATCTATTTTGAGCTTGGTTTATTGGTTTTATTTTTTATAAAATTAAAATGATTCTTTAAATAATGTGTTTAGAAAATATTTGCTAAAATAAAATTTAAAAAATATTTTAAGTGTGAATTATTATGATTTAAATTATTATTGGAATTTTTTAAAATTAATTAAATTTCTGATATTAATCGCATTTCTGAACAAAGTTATTTTACAAATGCAAAATCTATGTTCTTTTCGCCAACAGAAATTACATTTCATTAGAGAAATAACATGGCTGGGGAATGGACCACCAGTAGCGGAGCCCTACTGTGGATATCATGGAGAAAAATGCAACTGTAAGTAAATATTGAAGTAGAAGTATAATCATGTTTTGTGGTCTTGTCATTTTATCATTTAAGAGACGTCCAAAATTATAATCTTTTATTTCTTGCTGTTCAAATGATCTTCAGTGAAGTACCCCGCTACGACATTTTAATCTATCAAGAATTTTCATAATTTTTTGCAACTGCAATAGAGTTATAATTCTATTTAAAAAAATTAAAAATAATATTTGAGATTAGAATTTCTTCAAATATCCTTGTAGTCCAGTTAAATTAATTTCCAGATACTAAACATTATTTTTATCTTCGACATTTTTTTGGAATCTATCCAAAACTTTAAATTTGAGAAGAACGTCTAGTAGTTTTATGCAAATACCGTCTTATACATACAAATACATCTGTAGCATACCCATATAATATAGTATAATAAAAAGTCTATTGTGATCTGAAGAAACTTAAGCGTTCAGAAATTCTGCCCTCTCTCTTTTCTCCTTGGAAAAGCTATTCTTATGCTTCTTTGCATTTGCAAATGCTTTCGGCACTTTCTATTAGGTGCATAGCGTAATCTTTGCCAGGAATGCAAAGTTCTAGGCTAAATCCTCTTGAAATCGTATGCTCAGTATTTGAAAGGATTGTTTTCAAAATATTTGCATACTCTGCTTTCGAGATAATAAATACCCTAACTCATTTACCACTTCGTAGATTAAATTTAAATTCATCTAATAAAACAACAAAGTCAACGATTATTCCGAGTGGTAATAAAAAAGAAACGATTCCATGCACAGATGGTCTCTTCAGATACTAAAATTTTATTAAATCGAGGGGATTAATATAAATTAGTAAAGTGATCTTAAATAATTAAGCATTAATCAAGAATAAATTATTAATTAAATTAAGAATAATCTCCCTAATTTGAATTACTTAAATGGTAAATAAACTTTCAGTAATTCTACCAAATTTATTTGATGTAAATTGAATTTATTTCTAATTACCAACAGCTTATACTGGCGAAATAGTAGGAGGAACCGTAGGCGGATTGATGCTGGTTTTATTAGCAATATTGTTAATCCTATACAGAAACTGGAGATACGAACAAGAACTTGATTCGCTTCTTTGGAAGGTTAATTATAAAGATATCCAATTAAAGGAATCTAAAGATGTCACAGCGAATAATGATCAAATAGTGAAAACAAATTCAAAGGTAAAAAAAAATTTTTAAATTACATAAAAGTTTTTCCCTTAGCAAATGTAAAATATTTATAATTCTAAAATCTAATCGTAAATTTCTTGTGGGAAATGAAGACTTGTCTCCACAAAGGATTTCGTCACCAATTTCCACTCGTTGCACAATTTACTATTTACTTCTGTCAGGAGGATGTTGACCGTAAATTAAATATATTTGCAGAGTCAGCCTTTCGTAAGAACTAGTCAAGTTTCGCTGAGTTCAAATCCGGATGCTGACTTTCGCTATTCGATGATTTACACACAAGTAGGCGTTTATAAGGGTAGAATTTTCGCCGTAAAGAAAGTGAGGAAAAAATCAATCGAGATTACAAGGGAAATGAAAAAGGAGCTAAAAGTGGTTCGTATTGAAAGCAAATAATTCTCCCTTCTTGAAATAATAATTTTTTTTTGTATCATTTCTGAATACAGAATAATTGAGAAAATATTACGAAAGCAGATATTTGAGGTTGTTATTTTAAATGGACCATTGAATTAATTCCACTTTAGACTCAATAATTAAAAATCTTCGAATAGCTTTCTAACTTAATAACAATTTCTTCTATCTATAAAAGGATTCTTTTCATTAATTTTAGATGAGAGATTTGCGACATGATAATTTAAATGCTTTCATCGGCGCTTGTACGGATCCACCAAATATTTGCATTGTCGTTGAATATTGTGCCCGGGGAAGTTTAAAGGTTGGTACGTACCAAAAGGACGTGATCAGAAAATTATAATGTTTAATTTGAATTAAATATTTTTATTGAAAAATTTGCTTTAAAAGAAGTTTGAGAACTTTTCGCAATAATCAAGAAATGTATTTCCTGGTCATGGCAATGATAGAAAATAATTTATTACCACAAACAAATTGCAAATTTCGAAGCCTTTTTAAATTATAGTAGCTTACAAAAATATTTTATGTGCAGGACATACTAGAAAACGAAGACATCAAACTTGACAATATGTTCATGGCTTCCCTGGTAGGTGATATTGTAAGGGTAGGTATTTCTAAATATTAAAATTATTTAATTATAGCCCACACTATTGTATTTATAAAAAAATATTATTTCGTTTCCAAGGGAATGATTTTTCTACATGAATCCGTCATGAAGTACCATGGCTCTTTAAGTACATCAAATTGTCTAGTAGATTCACGTTGGGTGGTGAAATTAGCAGACTTCGGATTTCATGAGTTTAAACGCGATGCTGATTATGATCCAGAGGATGTAATGAAGCGATATCAAGGTTATAAATGTTTCACAAGTACTTTAATTTTTTTTTTAAATTCAAATTTCGACAATGAAAAAAATTATCAATCAGATTAAAACTCTACTTTTTTAATAGCATTATTATATCGAGCACCCGAATTGATACGAGCAACAAAAATATGTGAACCTACGGCAAGAAATTATCAAAAAGGAGATATTTATTCGTTTGCGATAGTTCTCTACGAATTGCAAGGACGTCATGGACCCTTTGGTGTCACTGATCTGACACCTCCGGAAATTCTCAAAAGAATTATAACTCGAGAAATAAGTTCACCTCCTTATAGGTAAGAAAATATATTTATTATAAATGATATTACAGAAATTCGAATTACTTTTTATATTTTGAAACTTATTGTTTCAGACCACCACTAGGCCAGCTAGAAAATAATTTTGATTTTATACGGGATTGTCTAATAGAATGTTGGTCAGAGGATCCGGAACTACGACCTGATTTTAAAATCATAAGAAATAAACTTCGACCCTTACGCAAAGGAATGTAAGTTTCCTGAAACAACTAAGGATGGAAGTAACTTTTCATGTGCTCCTGAATTCAACTTTATAAAAATATAATTTTTCAGGAAACCAAATATTTTTGACAATATGATGGCGATGATGGAGAAATATGCAAATAATCTCGAAGCCCTTGTTGATGAACGAACTGATCAATTAACGGAGGAGAAGAAAAAAACAGGTAAGCGTAGTCTTACTTTAGAAAAGTTTAAAATTTAAATCCTTGTAATGTTTTATTTATCTGTAGCACACGTCGAACCCTATCCGACGAATGAAAGTAGATATAAAAAAAGATCAATTTTTTTCGAGTCAGGGGTGTCACTCTCCCTTAAGTACACAGAATAAGACTCTTCCAGAATTAAACTAAATAGAGTCAGAAATAAATTACTCTCAATATTAAAGTAATATTACTTCTCATCTTGCGAGTAGAATTTAATACTCGTTGACCTTATAATTAAGCAAATTAACACAAATTAGAGTTTTCATTTAGATGCACTATTATTCGAAATGCTGCCAAGATACGTTGTTGAGCAATTGAAACGAGGCAATAAAGTTGAAGCTGAAAGTTTTGACTCTGTCACCATCTACTTTAGCGATATCGTTGGTTTTACTTCAATGTCAGCAGAAAGTACACCACTACAGGTAGGTTTTATTTTTAATTCCATTTGTAAAAACTGAACAAAAATTACCGCATATGACATTTAACTTGTGAAAATTCAATCCACGAAAGATACGTACCAATTAAATTTTCCATTCAGCGATACATTCCATTAAAAGAAAAAAAAAGTTTAAAAAAATAAACCCTCCCGTTTGTTTTCACCTTGGAGAAATAAATTCCAAATGCAAATGTTCGAAATTCAAAAATAACTCTTGTACATAAATAAAACAACCAGCGTGGAGTTAGTGAAAAGTTTAAATGCTTTACTTTTAGGTAGTTGACTTCCTCAATGATTTGTACACGTGCTTTGACTCGACGATTGAAAATTACGATGTTTATAAAGTGGAGACTATAGGCGACGCTTACATGGTGGTGAGTAATTTTACTGTATAAATACTTTTACTTTCATAAAAATCTAATAATAGACGAAACTGCAATGCAGCGCTTGTATACTGACTTTAAAATAAATTATATCTATTTTTTATATAATTATATTGATCACGATGGTTACGACAAGTGTAACCCCCTTAATTATTATTAGTTATAGTGAATACTACTAGAAGCGAATTAATCAATTTATCCATTAAATTCAGAACATTATGAAATTGTTTTAATAACGATTTCATTATCCTAAAATATGCATACATTATCTGGTGAAGTAGAATTTGCAAAATATGTATTGTTTAGAATACGGTAGTTCTAATGAAAATTGCAATTTAATGGCTCCTCAATAATGTGTAGATGAATATAATGATGTAATTGATACAGTAATTGGGAAATTAATTTGCAGATATTGGAACTTGCAAACAATCTGTTACATTGCTGTATTCTATCAGATAATAGGGTTGGTGATAATTTGGTGTACGAATAGGTTTTTTACTTTTATATATTTTTCTTCTATTGATCATAAATAATGTTTTTTTACTTTACCTTATTGTACTGCTCTGACGCATCATATTGAGAGTCCATCGCCTGTCCTGAAAAATATTTAAATGAATTAAATTTTAATATATTTGTTTCTAGATAAGTAAATTCTATTGTCTAAAATTTCTTTAATCAATTTCATTTCAATGGTCAAGAGATTGCGATCTCTTATAAAAAAAATACAGAATATCCAATTTTATAATAAATATAAAAGCATTTTTCAAATGCCATTTGTAACCTTGAAAATCATTTAGATTAAAAAATTGCTTTCAACTAAATTGTACCCATCAAATTTCCATGTCAAATAAAAAATTGTCATTTGGCAAATCGCTTCTATACGAGTAGTCAAATGAAGTGCTTCGTCAGAGAGTTAAAGTTTTAGTTTAATTCTGCTTTGCGGAATAATAGTTAAACCTGTTTACTTTCAAACTGTTTAAAATTTCATATAATAGGAAGTATACTAAAAAAAGAAAAAATTTTAAATTAAAATTAAATTAATTGAAATCTTAAACGTCCATTTAATCGTACTGATTCAAATTGCAAAAATTGTGAACATGCTGATAAAATTAATCACCGTTTCAGGATTGATAATTTCGAACTGTTTGGTAATAGGAGGTAATGATACCGAATGGATTGAGAGTCTTGAAGAAAGTGTGAAAAATGATCGAAACATTTATCAGGTGATATTTTTGATTCACGACATATCAGTGATTGACGATCCCATCTACAACAAGATTATTCAAAAATTATCGAAAACTATTCCAGTTCATGAATGCACCCTGGCAAATTTTAACAAACTTTCATTTTCGGATTTTATTACCTACAATCCACGAATTTCGCTATTTGTTCTCACAAATTCTGAAATTAACAGCAAACTAAATGCAACCATCGACTTTTTAGTACAACTCTCACAATTAAAACGACGACCTAAATGTCTACTGTTGCTATACAATGAAATTCCAAGTTATCGACGCTTTTTCGAAACACTCTGGATCGAACAATTTTTGGATTTTACTGTTATTGAAATCGTCAAACAGACTCTTTTCACAAATGACAAGAACCTCAATTACAAAGTACTTCATTACAATCCTTTTTTGAAGTTGATTACTAATGATACAGCTTCTTGCAAAACAATTTGGTTTCCTGACAAACTAAAAAATCTGCATGGTTATCGACTTGTTGGTAATCTTCTACATGCTCCTCCGGATGTAATTGTCTCACAAACATCGAAGAAAATTTCCGGTCTAGGAATCACGAAATTAGAACATTTGACAAAACATTTAAATTTTACGGTTGTAAAATCAGAGATTACAAATTGGGGAACATTAAGTTGTATAAAAACAGAAAGTTCAGGAATTTCTAGAGCTCTTTACTATAACGAAATTCAGATATCTGCGATTGAAACATCCATCGCGTTTTGTAATGGAAAAGGTCTTGAAAACAATAAAGGTTTACGACGATCAGAAGTCGGATTAGTCGTACCGCTCATCAGAAAAGATGTCAATTATCTAACATTCCAATGGCAAATAATGAATATCTTAATAGTAATGATTTTACCATTTTTCTTGTGGATTATTTCAAGAATTATGAACTTTAATAGTGAGGAGTGGAAGAGTGACTACTTGATCCGAATTGTTTTAGGATCAGTTATTCCAAAAGAACCTACGGCAACAATGGAGAGAATAGTATTCGTAGCATTTGTCATCGGATGTATTATGTTCTCCTCGGAAATTTTCACGTCAATAACACGAGTCCAAATGCATCCTGAACCACCATTTAAATACGAAACATTCGAAGATATTCTCTCCTCAAATCTAACAATCATGATCGATAGAAACTACTTTTTTGCTATGAAAAATACCACCAACGATGTTCTGCAAAAGATTTTAAACAAATCGACAATTATGTATTCCAAAGAAGACGAATGCGTGCATGATTTATTGAGATTTAAAAATTTATCCTGTATTATGGAAATACCAAGAGCGGAGAATTTGGTTCGAAATAAAAGAGATAAATGCGGACAGTCATTGGTTAAATTTTTGAGAGGACACTTTCCATCGGCTCCTACTATTGCGTCACTGGGTGCAGGTTCACCTTATATCACTCGTTTTGATCAAGTAGTACAAAGATTTATAGAGTCTGGCATTAAGGAAAAGTGGATGAAATCATATTCTACATCGGCAGAAGTTTTTTTCAAATCTGGAAAATCTTGCAATTCTAGACAATCCGAGTCCGTGGTGACAATTCGTCAAATTCTTTCTCTTTCTCTAATTGGATACGTCTGCTCGACTTGCATTTTGATTTTGGAATTACTTTCTAATCATTTAATGAAAAAATAAATTTGTTACGTTAAAGAAAAGAAAATACAGAATATGGTCAGTTGCTGTTTGGGAATTAAATTTTCTTATATGCTTCTTTTGCAGAATTTAAGGGAAAATAAAAAGTTTTTTCAGCTTTACAAATGGAATAACTATTTGATCAGCTCTCTATTACAAAAATAAAATCGGGAACACGGCGCACATAGTAAATCAATGAAATGTGTTACTCCTAACACCACTCTTCTTTTTCCACCCGACCACTTGTTATCCACATGAAAATAATTTCTTATCAATTTAGATCGCAGTCAAAGAAATGAAAAACATTTTTAAAAATAATATGCAATTAACGTAAATATAATTAAATTATAATTCAAGGCAATCAATTAGTTTCAAATGGGTATCATTTTAATTTTCTATTTCAGGTGAGTGGACTGCCAATACGAAATGGAATTCAGCACGCAAGTGAAATAGCCAGTATGTCCTTGTGTCTTCTAAATGCAGTCAAACAATTCACGATTCGTCACAGACCGTTAGACAAATTGCAGTTACGCATAGGAATACACTCAGGTGAGAGTAATGCAACACGTACATATATATTCTAAATTAATATTTTCCTTTGAACTATCGCTTACAAAGCATTTCAATTAAAAATATTTAAATAAAATTTTAATTTCTTAAAAATGAAAAAAAAAAATAGTTTTTAATTGTAATTTCTGGAATCTAAACAGATTTGTAGGACATGTCAAAAAATAGAAAAACAATTCCCTTTGAAATCAATGTAAATTTCTCTCGGCGGTTTATTCAGAATATTCAACGCAAGTTTACTATCTCTTGGGAATCCATTAACATTAAACGTAAATTTTCATTGATTGAACATAAAATCTATTTACTTAGTCGTAATCAGAGACGATTTTTTGTTTTAATATCTACGACTGATTATACAACTATTAAATGTTTTGTTGATATTCTAGTTAAAATTCTTTATGAGCGCTGCAATGATTGATTATTTATAAGTCTTTTAATTTTTAGAGTAGTATAATTTTTATTTGATTGTTCTTTTAACGGAAGAAGCAAAAAATAATTTTCAGGTCCAGTTTGTGCGGGTGTTGTTGGTTTAAAAATGCCACGTTATTGCCTATTTGGAGATACAGTTAACACTGCGAGCAGAATGGAATCCACTGGATCACGTAATATAAATTTTTTTTAAATTTCAAAAAAATCATCGAAACAAAAATAAATGAATTGCTTTTTTTTCCCCCACAGCATTAAAGATCCACTGCAGTCTCGAGACAAAGCTCCTCCTCGATCAGCAATGTGGCTTTAATTTAATAGAACGAGGGATCATTTCACTAAAGGGAAAGGGCGAAAGAATGACCTATTGGCTGATAGGTGAAGATCCAACTATGCGAGAAATTCGTTCAAAGGAACGATCTTTACGACGTATTGGAAATTGTTCTATTACAAAGAAAGCGATAACAATGGATCCCTTAGTGCCAAGGAGTTCCCTAAAAAATAAAGCTCTCACAAGGACAACATTTCTACGATGTTCGAGTGAATCACCAAAAAGATTACGATTCGCCAGTTCCGATCAACTTGATAAAAAAAGTATTCGTAATGGAAGTCAACTTGAATCAATCGCCGATAATAGTCCATGCAAGGGAACAATCACTTGTCCTGGAAGATTATCACAAGTTGAAAGTATGATTTCCAGTAATTCGTGTCCATGCGTGGAAAAACTTTGTGACACCGAAGTGTTTCCAATTAATATCGATTCATTATCGTCAAATAATATTTTTAATGAAAATTTTCTGAACATTACACCAATGTTGAGAAATGATGATTTTCTGAATAATGAAGATTCAACAAGCACGAGTCTTGAGACAAAAGGTTTTTGGTTAGGGACCAGTGACTATTTACGAATTGCTTGTAAATCAGCTCCGAATAGTCCAAAAAATAGTTGTACTTTTTTAAATGCCCAACAGAGAGGAACTCGTTCTACTGACGAGATAGATAGTTGGGACGTTGCTCCTCTTATTTAAATATACTTTTTACTTAAATAACTTTGAGGGCGGACTGAAAATCTCTTTTTGGACAAAAGTAACAGCAAATTATTCCATTTTAAAAAAATCTAAATTTTATACTATTCAAATGGTATGAAATGACTGATACCCTAAAAACTGATGACTAAATGAATTAATAAACGGAAATTAACATTCGTTTCTATCTGACGATAAAAAAAATTTACTCACACGCGCCCTCGAGTCAAGAGACCTTTTTGGTCCAAAATTGATAAAAATCAATTGATTATTATATTTATTGCAAAAACTTTTGGATATTGTTAAATATTGAAAGAAGGGAACTAAAAAAATTTCTCCTATTCTCGAATATTAAGTTTTTTTACTTTTTCTTTGAAATCAATTGTCGATATAAATTTTTGTAAATTGTATTTTTTCCTAAATAATGTTTTTTTCTTCTACTAATCATAAAATAATAATTTTTCTAAATACTCTCTGCTAAAATAATTTCGATTATTTTAGCTCGCTTTCATGTAATATTCTAATACATTAATCGAGAGTAAATCGTCAGTCCTGAAAAAGAAAATTCAAATTTAATTATTTTGAGAAATAGTGAAAATTTATTTAATTAATCGTAAAGTAACGAATTGTTTAGAGATCAAATAAATTGATTCCTTTGCGATTAAAACGATAGTTACGAATCTAGGTAAATTACCTTGGATAAAATATTAAATATTTATATTATCAAATTTAGCATAAATCTTTAAATTTAAATTTTCAATTATATCTTATTCTCTAAATTAAAAAACTGAAAAAATCACTTCTATCAAAAAAAAATAAAGACACTGGTTCAAAAAAATGTTTTCGTGTAGAAAAACGAAACTCATACATAATTCAAAAATGAATAAATAAATAAAAGTATATAATATAATAAATTATAAGCATTGAACAATATTTTCAAATCTTTTAACTACGTAACAGTATTTTTACAATTGAATATTATAATATAGTATTCCTAGGATACTATAGAGACAATCAAGAAGGCTCGTGCTTTTAAGGGTATCAAAATAATAATAATAGCATTCCCTTAAGAAAAATACGTAAAATCTATTATAAACAAATTCGAAAAATGTTTTTGTTTATTCGTTTTTAATTCATCGAATATGCAAATAAATTTAACAGAATTGCCAAAGTAAAATTTTATTTTGCAAAAAATTTCTGCAAATAATTAGAAAATAGAAGAAAATGAAAAATAAATTAAAAATAATCAAGTTTGGGAAATAAAAAAAAATAAAAAAATTTACTGAAACAAAAATTATTTAGTAATAGTTTAAAATTATTAAATTGAAATACAAATAAATGCAATTTAAAAAAACTGTTATTAAAATTTTTTGTTATTTTGTTTATAAGAAAACATTTTTCAGCAAATACAAAACTGCATTTATGTACCTTGCTTTAATTAATAAAAAATTATTATTATAAAATACAATTATAAAATACAATTATAAAATATAATTATAAATATAATTATAAAGATAATTATAAATATAATTATAAAATAATATTGAAAATATAATTATAAAATATTATTATAAATATAATTATAAAATATTATTATAAATATATTTATAAAATATTATTATAAATATAATTATAAATATCAATAGTTATAAATTCGTATGTAATTAAATTAATTATATTGTTAAGAGTATTATTAAACTAGATATTTTACACTTCTTGTATATTAAAATATAAAACAATATAAATACAAACTTTTAAATTATACGTCATTAAAATAAATAAATAAATATCTAAAAATTTTCGTCAATAATAAATTATTTCCTCTGTTATTTCAATTTTCGTTTCGAAAGAAATTCAACACAGCCTTAAGTATGAACTTTGCTTAACAGCGCGGTAGTAAATTTGCCATTCAACAGGAGCTGAATTATAAATCTTTCTACTTACTCGTAAAAAAATTTTTTTAAAGATACATTTCCTTAATATTTTCTTCTAAAATACCTTTATCGAGTAATAATAATAATAATAATAATAATAATAATAATATTTTCTTTTATTTCGAGTAGTTATATTCCGCCAAGACAACATAACCTTGTAATTTAATTTTTCTACAAACACGATATGACATTTGATGGAAAATTTATTGCACAAACATTTTTTTCTTTTTAACAATCAAAACTATCTTTCTCACGACTAGATATTTTTACTGTTAGCAAATATTGCTAAGAATTTTTATCAAAGGAATGAAAACAAAATATACTTACTGCGGTTACTGATGACAAGACAACGAGCCGTTAAAATGTCAACAACAGAGTTGGGTAACTAACACACTCAAGGTAATTTTACACAGTAATTTACAACTTTTATTTTATCTCTCAATTTTTATAGAAACTACTTTTTTCAGTAAAAACAATAGATTAGAATCTAAAATAGATATTTATTGTTATGACTGTTATTATTTTCTATTATTTATATTATTTTGTTTGATTGACAAAAAGTCGAAGTGACTCAACCCTGCGAATCGACCAGAGTTGGGAACACATTCTTAGTATTAAATGGTTCAATCTAACTACTCAACCCTGTGCGACAACCAGTTCTCTCATTCCTTGTGCATCAGTGAAACGAGAAACGACAGTTAAAAGTTTACAATTTCAGTTTTTCGAATATAAAAAAGTGTATTATAATTATCTCGATTTCATACAAATATGAAAAAAAATAGAATTTACAAGTATTAGTTAATCCATTCGCTAGTTAACAAGTATCACAATTTGTAATTTATAGTGAATTATTGCAAACGCAATTTGATAGTTGAAACAAACAGTTTTCTTTTGGGATTCAAAAACGAAATCAGTGTCAAGACAGTGCGACAAGATGATTGAAAGGAGGAAACAAATTTGTGTAATAAACGTATTTAATGTGGAATTTGGAATCGATTTGACAGTTTTTGGTAAATCAACAATCGGTGAGTGTTTTTGACTATTTATAATATTATAAATTGTATATTTTTTTAATTTTACGTGTATTTAGTATTTTTTCGTGTGAAAATCGTCTAAACGCCACAGACTAGAAAACATAACCTCAAAAATATTCTTTGATTTACAAATTTACAATCTTTACAACTTACAAGTTAAAAGCGCGCCAAAAAGTGACATAATAAATCATGCAAAGTTTCAGACCCTACATATAACCTGAAAATATTCTCATTTTACAATTTAAGTTAAAAAAAAACAAGGGAAAAAGTGTCGCTTGACAGAAATTGTGCAATTTTTTCAAAGAAAAAGTTTTTAGTCATTTTCAGTGAAATTGTGTGTTATTATATCAAATGAAGGTAAGTTAAATTTTAATTATTACGTGAAAAAAAAATGAAAGTTTCAAATTTTTCAAAACAATTTTAATTAAATTCCTCGGAAGAATTCAATTTTTTAAAAAATTCTAACACATTTCGAAAAAATTCAATTTTTTCAAAAATTTAATCAAATTGTTCAAACAAATCCAATTATTTTTCTAAATAGTAAAATTCTTCACAAGAATTCAATTAATTTTATAAATAGTAAAATTCTTTGCAGGAATTCAATTATTTTCAAAACAATTTTAATTAAATTCCTCGGATAAATTCAAATATTTTTTAAAATTTTCATAAATTTCAATTATTTCCTAAAATTTTCATAAAAATTCTTCGAAACAATTCAACTATTTTTATAAATACTAAAATTCTTTGCAGGATTTAAATAATTTTTAATCCAATTTAAATAAAATTACACGAAAGAATTTAATTATTTTCAAAAAAATTCCATAAAATTTAATTTCAACAAGAATTTCAAATTCTCTAAAAATAATTCAATTATTCTCAAAATATTTTTTAAAAAGATTCTATATAAAAATTAAATTACTTTCAATGCAATTTTTAAATATATTCGTCAAAAAAATTGAAAGAATTTAATTACATATTTTCAAAAAAAGTAATAAAATTCTTGTGATTAATTCAATTATTTTGAATATACTTAATTTTAATAAAATTCTTTAATGAAATTCAATTATTTTCGAAACAACTTTGATTGAATTTCTCGAAAAAATTTCATTATTTTCAATAATTTCGATACAATTCTTTATAAGAATTCAATTATTTCTTAAAATTTTAATAAATTCCTTGAAACATTTCAATTATTTTTATAAATAGTAAAATTTTTCGCAATAATTCAATTATTTTTATAAATAGTAAAATCCTCTGCAGAAATTGAATTCTTTTTAAAATAATTTTAATAGAATTCCTCGAAAGAATTTAAATTTTCAAATATTAACATAAAATTCATTTATTTTCTAAAATTTTAAATAAATTCTTCGAAACAATTCAATTATTTTTATAAATAGTAAAATTCTTCGCAAGAATTCAATTATTTTCAATACAATTTTAAAATTCTTCTTCATAAAATTCAATTGCTTTCAACATTTTCAATTAAAATTATTATAGAAACTCCATTAGTTTAAAAAAATTTGAAAGAAATTCTTCAAAAGAATTAGGATTTTTAAAAATTTTATTAAAAATTCTTCGCGAGAATTCAATTATTTTTCTAGATAATAAAATTTTTTGAAGGAATTCTATTATTATTAATTTTTTTGATAAAATTCTTTGCGCCAATTCGATGATTTTCAATACATTAATTTTAAAATTATTTGAAAAATTGAAAAATTATTTGAAAAGAAAAATTATAAAAAAGTTAAGAAACAAAAAAGCAAACAACAACTAACTTCAAACTGCGAACAGATTACCGGAACATGTATTTTATTATTATTATAATTATATGGATTTTTAAAAAATTTCTTCTAACATTAAATTTTTGATTAAATAATAATTGAAATAAATAATTTCCAATTAAAAAAGAAGTGATGCAATTCAAATTAAATTTTCATCATATTCAATAGTTTTTTTTTTGTAGTCAAATTATAAAATTGGTGTTTTAAAGAAAAATTCAAAATGGCGGATCAAATATGGAGGGCGAGGGGAAAAAGTCTCGATATATAGTTTTTAGAAGCTTCATTCAATTTTTTTTTAAATAACAGATTATTTCAAAATTTGATCGCAACTAAAATCTTTAAAAAAAAATCGGATTCATCTCATAAAAATTGTTAGACATTGAAATATTAAAATGGGAAAAAAAATTCTTTTATTACTCATACAATTATATTTAGTTGTATTGTTGAATGATTGTACACTGTCCATATGTCGTCCCTTCTCAACGAATCGCCCCATCTATCGCAACTCTACAGAATGGGTACTATCTTATTTATGTTGAAGTGGTTGTCGGCCAACTTAGCGTGCAGCTATCATCCAATCTAGAAGGGGGCAAT